AAAGGCAGTTAAAAAATTCGTATAATTTTCGTCACGAAATTGATATCATAAATTTTGTGTTTCTAGTTCAGCTTTCGTCACTCGAAAATTTTACCTCAAAGAGGTGTTTTATTTGATATAAATACCTCGTATATGCGGAATCCAATACCACGTCATGTATGTACAATACAAAAGGGATTTGGTTATTATTTTTCCAATACTGTTTACTTTATTAATTTAAGTTAAGATTAATAATAATAGTCTTATAGCAAGTAGGTTCAAGGGAAATACCATTCCACAGTTTTGAAAAAATCGGTTTTTTGCTCTTTTGTAAAATTTATTTACCATCGTATACGCGGTACTGCGTTTGGCGTATACAAGGTATTTCGCACTGTGCGACGATATAGTTAAAATGCAGTCCAATTTTTAATTGTTTAATCTTAATTATAAAATATGTATATACAATGTGATTAGGTATTTCATTGATTCTTACAAAGAAGTTGGAAACTGTGTACCTACATATGTACTTATTTAAAAACGTCATTTAGAGTCTGGTAATGTTTACGAAGATATTAACATACAGAGCACCTAAGCAGCGCGTGTCATATCTGGGCTCTGTGCCCAATTGACATTTTGGCAAGAGAGGTGGCTGAAACCACAGTGAATAAGACAATTCGTGACGCCGCGAAGCCAAATTGTTTGCAGAGGTGGCAGAATCGATGGAGCACTTCAGGTAAGGTACGGACATATCGCCTAATTCCTTCTTTACGAAGCTGGCTAGAAAGACGGCACGGTGAAGTGGACTTCCACTTAACCCAAATACTGACGGGACATGGTTGTTTTAAATCTTACTTGTATAAATTCAAACACGAAGACGATCCTTACTGCACCTTCTGGCAAATGACGTTATTGAAGACGCTGAACACTGTTTTTTGTCTGTCCGAGGTTTGCAATGGAAAGGGATGACTCGAGGATGAAGGTGGGGAGGTCCGTTGTTTGCAATATGGCAAACACCATTTTAACTAAATTGCGTCGAGCGGAACAAATCCGCAGGTTTTTATAGAGAGGCAATACGCCGCTCCCCCTCAGCGAAGTAATGCCTAACGGTAGTTCCACGGAGCGAGGGAATCGGAGCAGGGGTGGGTTTTTAGTGCGGTGAGCCGAAAGGCAAGTCCCACACTTTCCGACTTTCAATGCATTGTGCCTCCTCTAGAAAACAAAAAAAACATACGCACCTAATAAGGGAAGCCTGATTTTCTAAAATATGTATTTATATATATATATGAATGTATTTCATTTATTTTCAGCCTTAAAAGGTTTACTTTTCAAAAATGCAAATAAAAATTGATTTTCTTTGGTTTGTAAAATTTGTCTATACGTACTATATAAAAGAATTTGTGATAACCTGAATTGTTAATATAATAAAAAAAGTGGTTATTTTTCCTTACATTTGGTAACCTTTTCGTCTAATCTTGGTTAGAAAGTTCTTTGAGCGGCGGCAACACTGGCTACAACTACAGAAAAATTTTGCGGTGTTTAGTTTTCATTTACATGGCGCTCTGGTAAGACAGATCGTGTCAACTGACTCGGGTTTACGTACCGGTAGGTTTACGTTCTTGACTAAAGCTGAAATTAGTCAAGAACGTAAACCTACCGGTACGTANCCCCCCCGAGTCATCTGACACGATCTAGTAAGCAACACTGAGGGCTCCAGTAATCGACGAAATTCTGCGTATACAGACTGCGTTTAAGTATACGTTCTGCGTTCTTGACTAATTTCAGCTTAATTTCAGCTTTAGAATGTCAAACGATTACACTACAATGAATAGGCGCTTAATGTGCGGAGTGAGTGTATTAATCCCAGTTTATTTATTGGAAACATGCTCCAATTTTTATTACAAGTAACATAAATTACAATCACCAAACCATGCTTAAAATTTTACTATGCACACAATACCCATGATTCAATAATAAAAGGTTTGCTCAAACAACGCAACAGTTTTCTCGCTCCCTCTTGACAAAATCGGCTCCTTTAGCAAGGCACTGTGTGTACGGTCGGTGTTATGCAGACAAACTTTTGTTTGCCAAATTAAATGGCGGCTGCTTAGTTTGCTCGGCGGTGGTTATGTCGAGTTTGGCACAGGGTTGCACGTTCATTATGGTTTTCATGGCTATTGCCAACACGAAATGAAAATTTCAGATGTACATAACGCGCACAATAANCAGATGTACATAACGCGCAAAATTTAAAATTTTTGTATATGACAACACCGAATTTGCTGCAGTTTGACCAAACAAAATTAGTTTGCTGTGAGAGTCGCCAAACTCGCTCTCTCCGAGTTTGCTGCAACAACAATTGCACGCAGTTTGCCAAACAAAATTTCTGCATAACACCGGCCTACGTTCGTGTGTGTGTGCAAAGCTTTTATAAGGTCGGTGTTATGCAGACAAACTTTTGTTTGCCAAATTAAATGGCGGCTGCTTAGTTTGCTCTGAGGTGGTTATGTCGAGTTTGGCACAGGGTTGCACGTTCATTATGGTTTTCATGGCTATTGCCAACACGAAATGAAAATTTCAGATGTACATAACGCGCACAATTAATATATTTTTACGATATCTTATAGGCAATTAAGTGTGTCCTAATCTTTGAAGCTCCTCCAGCATAAATTCAGTTCTCTGGCTTTCGGTATCACGGCAATTTTTGTGTATAACGATTATCTAAAATTCTTGTATACGACAACACCGAATTTACCGCAGTTTGACCAAACAAAATTAGTTTGCTGTGAGTCAACCTCGCTCTCTCCGAGTTTCCTGCAATAACAATTGCACGCAGTTTGCCAACCAAAATTTCTGCAAAACACCGGCCTAAGGGAGCTAATCGAGTGTTAAAACTCTGTCACTAATGAGCAAACCTTTAATTATTGAATCATGCACAATACCTACATTAGACGTTTATTTTTTAAGAAAATGAAGAACATAATGTAAAACTAAGTCGTAACAATATTTGTATTCTGTCATATTTTCAACAAGTTGCGGTCGGTGTCGGCGAACCGTTTTAACTGCCTGGAAAACATCAACTTCTCCATGCTGAATAACTTGTTCAATACATGCATTAGCTGCACAGTAAACTCCAGCACGACTTCGACCATCTGGAGAAACTACACAAACGGGACCGTAATCAACTTTCTGTCTCCAAACCTCTACCATATTCATCAGGTAAACAAGTGAGTTGGTGGAGGTTGGTACTTTATGCCCCATTGGCCAACATGCGAGTTGAAATAACTGAACAGTTTTGGTGGGAGCTTTAACACCTGCCATCATTTCTGTTAGAGATACAATCTTTTTATTTATTTTAAATTCCCATTGTTTAATATTAGCGTAGCTTTTGGAAGAAACACTATGAACAGAGAATACCGGTCCGTACTTCTCTATTTTTGATTTATGTGGCCAAAATGAAGGGAAATTCTGAGAGATCAGAGGTGGTTGGCATAGAACAACGACTACGGAGCATTCTTGATCGTAGACGAGAGACCAAAATTCACCTAATGTGTGTTTAAGTGGCCATTCCGTAACTATATATTCTCGTGGTTTGGTATATCCGTCCACAAAAACCGAATTTATGTAGTCGGTAAAAGCATTTCCCTGAAAAGAAGTTAAATATGGTCGAAAATTATCAGGAGGGACACACAACACATCGCGATTTTTGTCTCGATTATCAGCTCTATGACCCCCGGCGCAGTCGCCTATTGTAAATCGAGGTGTCTGCTTGCAAATTTTGTCATATTCTGATTGATATTCATTCATTTTTGTAAGAGGATTTCTCCGGGCTTTAACTTTTAAGCGGTCGGAGAGTTCGGATACAGGAAACCAAGTTCTTCCACATATTACATGCTCTTCTAGGGTATCGTAGGTGAATTTGTATTGCTCCACATTTTCTACCAGTCCCTTTCTAGACTGCCGTAGTTTTTTCAGATAACCAAAAATATTGAAACATTCCTCTTCTTCCGCCAATTCTAGATTTGCATCAATAGACAAATATACCCCAGATCTACCGCCTCCGTCGCTACAATGCACGAGCATTGGCCCCTTAATATCGTCACCTTTAATGATATTTCCCACAACTAAACGTACTCGACGTCGAAATTCCAAGATCGCATTAGAAAATGGGCACGAATGCGAATACCACTCTGTGTAATGGAATTGCAATATAAGGCGTTCATCGGCAATTTCTTTCATTTCGTTTACTTTGTACAAGCGGAAAGTTCTGATGTGAAAATTAGCAAGCTGTTCTTCGCGTACAATATTTATATGAATATCTCCATAAGTTTCATGTACTTCCATGTTTGGAGGCCAATATTGAACACACATAACTTTGGCAAAGTCAAACGTCTTAGTAAGCATAATTATAGCACTTATATTCTCTTGCCATACCATCTGCCAAAAAGCATTGACAGTTTCTTCAACTGGACCTTGAGAAACAATATATGCGTTCGGCTTCAGAAGACTATCAACATATGAAGCATTAATATAATCTGAATCAGGAACGCCTGATGTCTTTTTGAGGACAACGCGGTTGTAATCATAAGGAATGCATTTAGAGTTCTGGTTTTTTTCTTGATTGTTTTTCCTCAATGCGTGTCTACACATATTTGTTTCCACTCTGGCAGCCGTTTGAAATTCAAGTTTATAAAGCACAGGAAATTTTCTACGTAATTCGCACAGCTTAAGAAAATGCGCCTTATTTATTGGAAAGTGTGGTATAGTTTTCGAAAAGGAGTTGTTCTCATCTCTAGCTTCCAATCTGATTTTCTCAAACGAAAGAAGCCCACTGTTCAGCATGCTAAGTTTAATTGTATTCGGTATAGACACAAAATTATTTTTTCGCACGTCTTCCTCAGTACATCGCGAAGAAGATTTAGACCGGTGTTTCTGGCCAGTATGCGATTTATCCTTTAAGTTTGGCATTTCTAATTGGTTCAGCCAGTTTAAGTACAAATTTTTACGTTCACGTAGGAATGAAACGATACGAGTTAGAGCTGGGATGCTATCGATAGTATCAATAGTTGAAAACCGTCGCCAGTATCGATAGTTTTCGAAAACTATCGATGTCGGTTTTGGCAAAACTTCTCTCTTGCGTTGACTTCGCGAGAGTGCACCTCGCTTTGAACAAAATGACTTTATGGGGGGTGTGCAGGGGGTCGTACACATCACAAAACTGAAAGCCGGACGGCGAGGAAACTCATACAAATGTGCAGAAAACACACATTTCAACTAAATTAAGCTATTTGAACGTTTATCCATTTTATATTGTGTTAATTTCATTCTTTAACGATGAGGAACACGTTTATAATTAATTTGTTTATTTTCCATTAGACAACCGAAATAGTATGTATGAAAGTATGTATGGACAATGACCGAAACGAAGATGGCCGCATGATTCAAGTAATTTCGGTGCGTCCGGGCGTTTTTAAAAAATAGTTTTACCCGATTAACCAAAAGACAACAAGTGGGTTTGGGCTCTCGAATCAGACTGAATTAAATTATTTATTCAATTTAAAATGAAGCTTATATTCTAGTTACAATATTTGCTTACTAATTACTTTTGGCATATGAATTTAATAAAACTGCTTGCTAATCAATTTGTTCCATGTGAACTAAATAAAACTGCTTGCTAATCAATATGTTCCCCAATTTACTAATTCTCGGAAATTTGGTGTCTTTTTGATTTTCAATTTCTCTTTTTGTGTACAACTTTTGCAATATGCCGGAAATGGTTTTATGTTTCAACTTTATTAATTTGCTTCAAGAATTCTTCATACTTATCAATTGCACCGTCAGGTGTTTTTGTGTAGCTGTTAATATATGTAACTTCTCCCCCCTTTAGATTCGAATTCTCCTGACTTCGTGTATTCAATTTGATTGTTATACGTTTATGTTTATTGATAATAACAATAACTATCATTACAATTATAATTATACTTATCATATTGCATATATTCGATATTTTACTATGAATTCTCAATTTAAAAATGCTTTCTATGTTTGATCTATGCTCCTCTATTATTTCATCAAAGGTAATTCTTTTCGTAAAATTCCGAATATCTCCATATTTTAAGCTTACAATATTTTCTTTTATATTTTCAATATAATTAGAAAAATAGTAGTCGTTAATTTTGATAGAACAATTATTAAATCGTATTAAGTAGTTTCCACTTATAATGGGTTGTTCTTGATAACATGAGTGATTAAGCTGTAAATTTATTGCGTTTTTAACAACAATAGTTTTTATGTTTATTTCTAATATTTCCAGTTCTCTATTTTTTGTGAGATGACAATTATTTCTTAAAATACAGTGATTATACTAAGTTTCATTCCTTTCAATGATTTACTTTCTTCAAATATTAAATTTTTATTTTCGTAAGTAAATATCTCTTCTATTTTGGCTTCTATTTCTTCTTTTTCTTTATTGGGTATAGGAATGACGGTTCTTATTTTTACATATTCAAAGCTTTTAGGTATTTTTATGCCGAAAACTAAATATGTATTATTTAGAATTACTGTGCCTAATTGTAGATATTTAAGTTTATTATAATCGATATTATATTTTATTATTTCCTCACTTGTTAATATATTTGGATGTATTATCCCATATTTGGCTGATACAATGTTTTCTTGAAGGTGTTCAATTTTACTTTTCAGTAATTGAATTTTTGTATATTGATCTAAGTATAAATTTTGTTTATATTCGTCATACATGAATTTGTTTATTGAGTTCAGCTCTTTTTCTATTTTTACTCTATCACTTTTAACAATTTCTTTGAGATGTTCAATAGCTGAGGCGAAATAATCATTTATTTTGATTTGTTGGTTAATTGTGTCGTTTGTCCGTAAAAGATGTGCTTGTATATTTTGTCTGTCGTCCTCATCCATTGTACCAAAGAGCCATTTTGACATACTGCCTACTGCATTAATTAATCCTCGCTTGTTTCTAGTTCTAATTGGCATAAGTGTCAGTAACTTATTCCTTACGTCTAACAACTCCCTTTGTAATATCTCCTTATTTGGTAATTTCATTAAAATTATATTGTCGGTCATACCATTGATAATGTCTTCTAGTTGTTGAATGTCAATCATATGTAGTACTATATCGCTATCCTTAGGTATTTCCTGATTTCTAATTTGTAAATCTATAAATCCGGTTTGTTCAGTTAGTTCCGTCAATGTCATTATTCCTCCGCATTGTCGTATCATCAGTGTTATTACTGCTATCATGATCCGTGTCTGTAAATTTTAAAGGTCGTTTAATATTTCTAACATGGACTTTTTCTAATTTTTGCTTTCTATATTTGGGTTGTTCCTTGTGTCTTACTGCCTTGTAATTTTTTATGAATCCCTCTGCTCTTTGCTCTGTATATTCTTCCCTGTTCCTATTCAATTTAGTGATTGATTTCTTCTTTGTCTGTTCCAAATTTTTTCTTACAATTTCTTTATCCACTTTGTTATTATGAACCTCGTTAGGTGTGAATTTTATTGTAGAATGAAACCTGTCATTATAATTTATAATAGCTTTTTATATTAACTGCTTAACTGATATGTCTTTGTTTAATTTATATAGCATTCTAAACTTTTCTGAAATGGTATTATTGAATCTTTCAATGTGTGCGTTACCCGTATGGCTGTTGGGTTTGGTTAGATGAAGTTCTATATTTTCATTGCTTTGAAATTCCTTAATCCTTGTCGCATTAAATTCATTATCTGCTATTATTTTACATGGTTTTCCTATTTTGGTAAAGTAGTCTTCCAGTTGTTCAATGATGGTAATATGATTTCTGTCATTTAAAGGATATGCTACTCCATACTTAGAAAATTTAACTATCATTGTTAAAAAATTTAATATTTTTTAACATAGGTGTCTATGTGCATAATTTCATTATTTTTTGTGGGTGTTTCCGTATGCGAAAATTTTGGTCTGATTGGTCTCCTGTCATATTTAACTTCTTGGCATGTTTCGCATTGGTTGATTACTATTTGTATTAGCTCTGCTAATTTCGGAAAGTAAATTTTATTTCTAAGTTGGTTATACGTTTCCTGTATACCAGAATGTAAGCTTTCCCTGACATGATATAGCGAAATTTGTTTGACCGCTTCGACTTCAGTTTCGATATCCTGTGCTCTCATTGTGCACTTTATAAACTCTAATTGTTTATCGTTAGAGAACATTTCTATGAGCTTTTCTTGAACTACATTATATTGCCGTTCAGATAGTTCTGAAAAAATTCCTACTTTTCCCTTTGTTATATATTTCCTAAATATATCACCTAGTCTACCAAAATCATATTCCGAAACGAAAATAATTCTTTTCCCATGTATCATTTTTAGCTCTTCTGTCCTTTTATTTGTTAAACAAATTTGTGTTTTATATTTGTTGACTATCTCTTCTTTGATATAAAAATGATCATGCAAATTTTCTTCAGCTGAATGGACCGTTTGCATTGACGCATCATCCTCGAGATCGTCGATTATGTTCAGGTCGTATTCAATATTTTCGCCCGTATTTTCTTCACTATGTTCTATTCTGCTCAAGAAATCGGCTACTTTATTTCCTTACCCTTCAAATATTCAATGTCAAATTGATATTCTCCTAGTTTTAATAACCATCTCTGATGACGTGGTGACATGTCCTTTCCTCTGTATTTAGAGTGTAAAAATTTTATGGGTTGGTGGTCTGTTACAATTTTGAATTTCCTTCCGTACAAATATGGTCTGAAGTAATTCACGCTCCACATAATAGCTAAGAATTCCTTATCCGTAGCTGAATAGTTTCGTTCGTGATTATTTAGCGTTCTTGATGCATAGCAAATTGGGTGTCCTTCTTGTGATATAAAAGCGCCAATTGCATAATTTGATGCATCAGTTGTTAATGTAAATTCTTTTTCGAAATTTGGATATCTTAAAATTGGGTGTGAACTAATTAATTGTTTGAGCTTAACAAAAGCTTCTATGTAAGAAGGGTCCTTAGTGTTGATTCTTACTCCCTTTTTTAAATATTTCGTAATTGGTTGTGCTACCTTTGCGTAATCTTTGACAAATTTTCGGTAGTACCCTGTTATACCCAAAAAACTCTTTATTTTTTTTCTGTTCTAGGTAGTTCTAAGTCTTCTACAACTTTTATTTTATCTGGGTGAGGCTTCATACCCTCCTTCGTTAGTACGTGTCCTAAGAACTCAGTTTCTCTCTTTAAAAAATTACATTTGTCCACTTGTATTTTTAATTTTTTTTTCTCTAGGACCTTAAAAATACCTTTGATTGCCTTTATGTGTTCCTGCAACGTTGTGCTGAAAATTAGAATGTCATCTAAGTAAACAACACACGTCTTGTTTATGAAATCTCGAAGAATTTCGTTCATAAGACGCTGGAAGGTTGCAGGTGCGTTCTTTACCCCAAATGGCATCCTTGTAAATTCATACAGACCATGAGGTGTAACGAACGCAGTTTTGCACCTGTCTTCCTCTTTAATTGTAATTTGATGATATCCCTTAGCAAGGTCTAGTGTCGTGAAGTATTGGGCACGTCCCAATTTATCTAATATTGAATCAATGTTAGGTAACGGATATTTATCATCGATTGTTACCTCGTTCAATTTTCTATAATCTACTACTATTCTGTACTTTCTTTTTCCTGAGTTATCGATTTTCTTTGGGATTACCAATAAGAGACTGGAGTAACTGGAATTACTTTTTCTTATAATATCTTGCTCCTCCATCTCTTTAATTTGCCTACGAACTTCCTCTTCATGTTGTGGTGGGTATCTGTATAATTTCGAGTTTATTTGCTCGTCCGTAGTGGTCCTAATTTCATGTTGAATTTCTGTGGTGCTCGTTAACTTTTCACCCTCTTTAAATAATAGTTTTTCAAATGTTTTTAGTAGTTTGGCTACTTCTTTATACTCTTCTGTATTTAAATGCTCTAACTGTATTCCTTTAATTTTATCATTTGTCACTTCCAACGCACAAATTTCTTTAAAATTAAAAGGGTTATTTACAAATTTTGTTTCTTTTTCACGTAAAGTTATTTTTCCATCCACCAGATTTATCATGGTGTTCAAATGGTTTAATAAGTCAATACCTATTATAAAATTGTATTTTCTACCTCTTAGTGGTGTTGATTTCCATTTTATATACGCATTATCAGGTAAATTAAATTCCTTTGGTGCTCTAGTATGCACTTCATGAGTAATTTTCTCCTTACTTGTTACTGTGCTGATTATTATTTCATCTTTAAGGGGTATTTTCCTAAAATCATTTAGTTCAGCGTCTACTAAACTTATGTTCGCCCCTGTATCCACTAAAACAATGTACTTTTTTTCGTCAATAGTTATTTCTATTCTCGGTAACCCGTCCGAGGCTTCCTTATAAAAAAAATTGCGTTATTTACTTCTTTATATTCTTCAGATTCTCTATTGCTTTGCCTAGGCGATTGCAAGCGATTTTGGCTGCTACTGCTGCTAGGGTGTCCTGCGATTCGAGATCTGTCTTGGTCAGTTTCTACGTTATCAATTTCCATTGGTTCGACTTGGTTTTGTCTAGGTTGATTCTGACGGTATTGACCGGAATTCTGTTTAGGGTTTCCAGTCGTTTGTTGTCGTTGAAAATTACCTGAATTCATCTGTCTATTATTGTTATTATATCTTCCGCTAAAATTCTGCTTATATTGCCCTGACACATTATATCTAGCATCATTTTGATTACCTTGATTATTTGCACCTGGTCCCGTGCTTTGATTCTTATCAAAATTTTTGTTGTATTTCTGACCTCTATCGGGATACTTATTATTCCATTTATCTGTGGAATTGTCCCCCTTTGTTTTAAACTTCCTATACTCTGGTCTAAT